TTATGGGGAATTTGACCTAGTAGTCACAGTCTTGGCATGAGAAAGTGAATAAGAAGGTATTGAGTTTATTACATACTGGCATAAGGTAAAGACGCCTTTTGTAGACAGCTATAGGCACTCCTTTGGACAAAGAGAGGTGGCAGTTGTATCTTTTCAGGCCAAGAAAGTGGCTAAATGCTATCATACACCAATATCATAGGGTTAGAGAGGGTTGCAAGGAAGAAAACATGGTTATGGGGGACTTCAGAATCTTAATCCATTCATCATTTGGCAAGGGGAAAAAGACAATACATTTGTAAGAAGACGGTTACTATTCCTTAGCTGTCAACTTGGGACATTGAAGTTGGTGAAAATGAGGATCCTTGCTATGGTTTCATGAGTAGTATCTGGTCAGTTGAGAGTGAAATATCTATGATGTCATATGAAAAAAAAAAAAGACCCTAGATTTTGTATGCACTAACTAAAACTGATCATGCTATTAACCAGGTTTGACACTGTTGGAAACAAAAAGAGATGCATGATTTATTTTTATACAGAAAAGGTTCAGAACGAGGAATTTCAGAAGTCTGAACCCTTTTACCTGAAAAAGGATAACTGTCTTTGTTCTAATGAGTGTCACTGATATTTCTAGTAATTTTAAATCTATTGAGTTATGACCTACGTTTACCTTTCACTGAAAATGCTAACTGTAACAGCTTTCTTTCATAAAAAAAAACAGGGACTTGAAAAAACAACATGTTTGCATAATTATCAAATAATTTTACAAAAACTCTCAAAGGAATTAATACTAGGGGGCAAAAGGCCTTTTTTATGTTTTTAAGGTAAGGGGTGAGAAAAGAGAAGCAAAAGAAAAAATGTCAGAAGACACATTTGACCCATGAAAAGAATGGAAGTGTGGCACTGGGAAAAATTAAAAAAGAAAACCCCCAACTTTTTAGCTGCTCATTGAAAAATTTTTATAAGTGCAAATAACAAAGATGTCATGTAATTCCTCTGCGTGAAAAGAGTGCTTTTTAAGTTCTTTTTGATGGCATTGAAGATACTAAACTGAATCATCCGTTCATGGAGCAGGCTGTAAACCCTCAGATGTTAGTTAGTGACTCATTAGGAGGAGCAATAACTACGCAAAACGGAGATTTTTTTTTTTTTTAATACCTGTTACCCGTAAGCTGTATTGCCTTGCCAGCACCAGTCACCGTGTCTGCCAGTGGTACTGTCACACCCACGTACCTGGGAGGTTTGACAGGCCTCTCATCCAGGCGGGGCAGGAGGTTATAGATGCTCTCCTCAGCACACTGCGTCGCCATCCTCCGGCCGAGGGACCCCGCACACGGAGGACCCCGCCCCCGCCGAGGGGACCTCGCGTTTCCTCCCTCCTCGGCCCGCTTCAGCGAACGGCTGCCTCCGGCCGCGAAGCCCCTCAGGCC